ATTGGCAGCAGGCGTCGGTCAATCTCTTTTCTTTATATTCTTCACCAAAAAATTATTTCGTAACATGACTGATCGGTCGCGTCTCTGCTTCACGCACTGTTAGCAAATACTGAGCATGCACAGCTCCTGAATATTGCCTGAACCGCTCCAGTGTTGGTCAAGTCTTCTCTTGAAAAGAGCTCACACTCGGTGCCGTCCACAACACTCTCTGGTAAAGATTGTTCCAAAGTTTACAACCCTCACTCCGAAAAAGTTTGCCCTCACGGTTTTCTGGACTTGCGGCTTCTTCAATCTTGAGCTGTGACCCCTTGTGGGGCGAGCGTCCGCCAGCTCCAAGTAAGGACACTCAACTGAGTAGTGCCCCCTGAGATACTTATACACCTCAACTAGGTCCCCCCTTGCCCGTCTGTAGTATAAGCTAGGCAAGTTCAAGCGCTCCAATCTCTCAGGGTAGCTGAGGTGCCGAAGTGCAGGCACCAGTTTGGTGGCCCTCCTTTGAACATTTTCAACCAACTGACAGTCCCTAGCATATCTCGGGGACCAGATGGGGTGACAGTACTCCAGATGGGGAAGCACTTCACTCCTGAAGATCGTCACGAGGGACGGACCGTCTAGATATCTGAACGACCTTCTTATAAGACCCAATAATTTATTTGCCTGATTTACCTTCTTCTCACAATGGCCCGAGAACTTCAGCTCATTGTCAACATACACACCTAGGTCCTTCTCACACACAGTCTCAACTAGTACATTTTCTTCATCCCGTTGGGACATATGGTACGCCTCCTTACCGTTGGTACGCCCCAGGTGCATCCTCTTACACTTCGTGACATTGAATCTCAGCAGCCATTCCTTCGACCATTCCTGGAGCCCACAGAGGTCCTTCTGCAGCTCTTCACAGTCCGCTTGGTTCTTAATTTCCCGAAATAACTTGGCGTCATCGGCAAACATTTGTATGGAGGAGTGTACAACGTCAGGCATATCATTTATGAAACAAACAAACAACAGCGGGCCCAATACACTACCCTGCGGTACCCCACTTGTTACAGGTACAGATGACGATTTCATGCCATTAATCACCACACATTGCTTGCGGTCATGTAGAAAGTCTTCTATCCACGCTAGGACATTTCCCCAAATTCCGTACCCTTCCAGTTTGATTTTCAGCCTTTCGTGGGGTACACTGTCGAAAGCCTTGGCAAAATCTAGGTAAATATTGTCGATATTACCACCCCGTTCTAGAATATGGGTCCAAATATCCAATACCTTGAGCAATTGTGTCAAGCAAGAGCGCCCCGGCATAAAACCGTGTTGGCAATCTTTTACAAGGTTGTTTCGTAGTAGATGTTCCATCGCTGCATCTCTGATAATACTCTCAAGTACTTTACATATTATGCTGGTCAGGCTCACCGGTCTATAGTTGTTCGTGGAGTGCCTATCGCCCTTCTTGAAGATAGGACTCACATAAGCCACTTTCCATTCACTGGGGACCATTTGTTCATCCAGGCATTTACAAAACAGAATCTTCAGGGGCTCTGCAAGCTCGTTGCACAGCTCCCTTAGCACTCTAGGATGCACCATGTCAGGTCCAGGACTCTTATGGACCTTTAGCCTGGACAGTTTATTTCTAATACCCTCTTCTGTGAACACAATGTGGGTCAGTGCTGTGTCGAACCGTCTGTCCTCAAACGCAGGAAGGTTAGTTGCATCCTCTCTTGTGAACACTGAGGAAAAGAAGCTGTTCAATGCCTCAGCTTTATCCTGGTCAGAATCTGCGTAACTACCATCTTCAAGCCTCAGGTCTGATACTCCTACTCGCGTTTTCAATTTCGACTTTGCATAGCGGTAAAACGCCTTTGGGTTTGACTTGACCTCGCGTGCAACCAGCCTTTGGAACTCCTTTTCAGCCCTCCTACACTCTATCTTTGCTTGGTTTCTGGCTCTTGCATACATCCTCCTGTCTTGCTCATCGTTTGACCCAACCCACGTCTTGAATTTCTGGGTTTTCTTCTTAATTTTGTCGACCGCCGCATGGTTCATGTGTAGGGATCCCCTCGTATTCCTAGAAGCACTGGGTTTGGTCTTGGGTATATATTTATCGATCAAATGGGTCATTTTACTAGTTATGATATTCAGCGTAGTGTCTGCGTTCTTGTACCTTAATAAGTCAGGCCAGTTGATACCCCTTACTTGGTTCAGACTCATGGAAATGGATTTCAGGATCAAACCTTTATTTATTATTATTCTTGGACCAGGTTTCTCATGAAGCCAGGTAGATAAAGGGAGGACAGTGGCATAGAACACCCCCCCCCCCAAAAGTTCTATGGTATAACTCACCACTGGGAAGCTACCCATCATCCATCATTGTTTACACTTTGTGTAAAAAAAAAATAATTTGATTATCTTTTTACTGTATAACTTTTAAGCTCTTTGTGCTCAGCGAGGGAAGTTCAGCACCTGAGGGTCGACTTTTTAATTTTTATTTGCAATAGAAATACTTAACCACTTGTGATTTTAAATACAGTACTGTAAATACTGTATTTTATATTAGGTTATTTCAATTTTTATACAGTGACCCCTCGGTTAACGAACTCAATCCGTTCCAGAAGGTCGTTCGTTAACCGAAAAGTTCGTTAACCGAAACCATTGTTTCAATGGGTTTTTGGGTAATTGGTTCCAGCTCACCGAAAATTTCCTAAATTCAACAAAAATGGTAGAAAAGTTCACTTACTTTGAGGTGTGTATGTAGAAGGCTCCTGGATGATGATGATGATGATGGGAATTAGAATGGGGGTGGAGGAGAAGGAAGAAGAGAAGGCATTGGGGTGGAAGAGAAGTCACCCCATGGCACCATTTCATCCATAAAATTTTAGTTCTCTTGGTGTATTTCAAGATTATTTTCTTTAAATCAACACTGCACTGCATTATATATTGTCAATATGTAAAATATATTTCAAAATGACCAATAATTTGCTTGGAAACACAGAAAAAGAGCATTTAGTTGAAGGGAGTCTCAAGCAAGATGTTACCTCCACTGAAAACAGAGAGAGACTAACGCCTGTCTGGTGTGTTAACAGGCTGGATGGCACGCCAGAAACTAGTTTCTTTACCTTCAATTATGTTCAATAGTTGTTAAAATGACTAAAAAAGTTAATATTAAACTTTTAAAATTATTGAATAGTATAAACTTCTTGATATTTACTAAAATAGTAAGGAATTTAAGCCCTAGAACCGATTAATGTATTGGCGGACTGATACTAAAGCTGGTTGCCCGGTCAGTGCAAGCGAAAACACGTTGAGGTCGGTTCGTAAGAAATTCGTTAACCGAATTTTTGTTCGTTAACTGAATTGAAGATCCTTATGGAAGGCAGTTCGTTAACCGAAATTTCGTTAACCGAGGCGTTCGTTAAACGAGGGGTCACTGTATTTAAACTTAATAAGATTTTATTTTGTTTATATAATATTTTTAAATTATAAGTTTTATTTTTGGTGTCAAATGGCCACAGGTTGCAACACCAGATATTTTACCCAATTAATCAGAAAAACAATTTCTGGGTTATGGTTGCAACTTGGAGAATAAACTAATTAATGGATAAGTCCCAGTCCAATTGTAGACTTGATGGGAAAACACACAAGTCATCTGATCCAGGGTTAGTTATAAAATGGGGTTTCACGTTCAATCCTCCATTTTTGTATGTTTTAATGTGATTTTGGAAGAAATATTTAAGTTACTCAATAACATATGTACATGTACATACAAGTTATGCTTTAAGAATTGCAAGATTTATACTTATTTATTATTACTGAATTGGGGCTTACTGAATTACCGGGTATACCTTAAAATATTTCTTTATTTATAGCCTAATGCCTGGCTTGGGCAAGTTGTGCATTACCAGCTAAAGTTGACTGGCTCAAAACCCAAGCCCACAAAAGTGATGGTTGGAAATATCCTTACCCTCACCAAACCAGCCGTGGTGTATTCTTTCGATCTGGCCGAGGGTCTCTCTGCAGGTTTATCTATAGCCTCACAGTGCTAAGCTTTCTTATTAGTAGAAGTTACATTACCACATTTCAAGTACATAGGACCTAATGACTCAGTTTGAGATTATTCGGAGTGTTGAGACACCCCCAAGCTCACCATGCATAGTCTGCCTATTGTATAATGGCTCTTTAGTTTTCAGATACATTAAAATTTTCTGGCCAAAAGTTGATAAGAGGATACTCTGGTATGGTCTAAAGTGGATTTTAAAGAATATCTTATTTTGGAAGCTGTATGGAGGATGTGCTTGATACCCAGCTTGGGGAGGTAGTTAGACCTTTACATAATGCATTATTTCCTTCAAGAAATTGTAGTTTGATCTTATATGTTCCATATAAGGACATAAAGGAACCTTTCATGGATCACTAGGAGTATAAATACGTACTGTTTTTCTTACTGCTTCCATTGAGTCATGTTGAGTTGTACAGTATCTTGTTTACTCTTGTAACATGGCCTCCCTTGAGTTAATTCCATGGCTGACAAATGTGTATTTGTTACAATATTAATTTGTTTGCATTTTTTTATGCATATAGTATTGTGATTATATTCTTATTTTGTGTAATAGTATTAATTGGTGGGTTCTATGGATTTGTAATTTTTTTCATGTGTCAGCAGAGCTAGCTTTATTGCTAAGACTGTGAGCTATTACTCTACACTTAAGATCATCATAATATATGTCCATTTCATGGTGCTTGTTGTCTTCTGAACTGCTTTCACTGATGAATATCAAGTGTGTGATAAAATGTTTGAATTTATTGTATGTACTGTAGTGGGTTTAGGACAACTAGTTTAACAAGTCATGCCTCCTACCATTGTTTAAGTAGGATTACTTTGTCTTGTGGTGTATGTAGTTGCACTAGCCTTGGGAGAATATTTTTTGCCTTTTTCCTCCCTGTACTTAGCTGGCTTCAGAATACAAGAAATGTCAAAGCCAGGCATTAAGTTAAAAATGAGGCATTGATCCTGAAAACCCACATTAACTTGGATCAGACAACAGTGTTACCTTCCCTTGTCCCATTAAGTAACACTGAAGTTGGCTAGAACTAAGGGTTCACCTGATGAAATAATACAGTAGTATATATAGTTGAGCCAAGTGAGAGTTTGCAGTACATGTCTAGTTTGGCAACAATAGTCTACACTCTCGTCTTAAATGATGACTGACATAGCCAAGACCCTCTGTTTAGGGGCTTTGATTATGATGAAAAGGTTTTGAACTATCAGTAATTATCCATTTGCAGTATACTGTAGTTTCAGCCACCATTGTCAAGTTGCCTGGGCTTTCAACCCATAGACCTTGGCTGATAATGGATAAGTTACCTGATCCAGCCTTAGTTATAGAATGGGATTCCAGGATCAATGCATTTTGTTTTTAATTATTTAATATAAGTTACACTGTTGTTATTATTTTTATTAACTTAATTTATACTTTACTAGTAGGGTACAAATTAATCAAAGCTTTAAAAGTGCCTAATCATTTTATAATCAAGACATTAATTTACTTCTATTTCCCTGTGCAATTTAAGAAAATTATTAATGCATCTTCAAGCAAATACATCTATTTTTGTATAAATTTTCAGTTACCATTTTCCCTAATTTATTTCCGAGAGCCCCCTACAGAACCTTTCTTTGGCGCATTGGTTTCTTCTTATTTTGTTGTCAGAGACTGGCTGTAGTAGTTGAAATATTATTCCAGAATTTTTTGTACTTGGTTATACTAGTCAAAACTTGGCTTTTACTGACAGTATAACATTATTACAAATGAAAAGTATAATTTACAATGAAATATATAATTTATCACTTTAAAGAAAGGACGATATCTATTGTATTATGTACTGTATATTGTATGTGCTAAACACTTAGTAATTAGATACTGTACATGTCACCCCATCAGTGAGAAATAGCATCTTCATCTTTTGGGCTTTTAGTACAGTACAGTACAGTATATATAAAATCATAGGTGAAAAAAGTAGCATGAGGTACTGTATATTTCTGCCTGATGAATATAGTGGTGCTCAGAATTGGTTGCATTATAATCCAGAGACTCTGGACTTTAAGATTCCTGTTTCCTTAATAAGTACAGTACTACCACAGTTAGTGGGAGTGGGCCTAATTAGATGGTAGCTAGCTCTAGGTTATATATTACCATAGCCCTAGGATTGTTATTGAACTTCAGTACTTAATGCCGTCCAGGTGTTCTGTGCACTCACTGGGTATTTTTTGCTTTGCCTTTACTCCATATTTTAGAGGAACTACCTAAAAAAGTTCTTTTGTACTTATATAGTACAGTATATTAAAGCTTTGTTTAGAAAGAAGTGAAAAGATATAAATATTGTATGTTTGATTTTTATTCAGATTTGAAGAGTTATTTTTTAAAAGGTGTGAGGCACCATTAACTGCATACAGTACTGTTTAAGGAATTTGATATGGTTGTATTTTGTCATTGTCTTTTTTTATGGTACAGTACTAGATGAAGAACTGAAGAATCAATACATTTGGAATTGTTAATAATGAATGTGTTACTGATAACTTTGTGAATATGCCTGATGTAATGGGTTTATGTCAAAAAAATATACTGATGACTGTTTCTGGAAAGCTTACTATTTATGGTCATGACATAAAAGAGGTGCAGTTAATTAACACAGAATATTTTGTTTAAACCAATATTACAACACCATTTACAATGTTGAATAGTTTTTTCTCTCCCCTATATTCAAGCTTTTCCGTTAAAATGCACTGCAGCGGAGTCAAGAGCAAACCATTGCAGTATTTAATTTACTTACCAAGTTTTGATATTGTTTCTATTGCTGGTAATACAGAAGAACTACAGAATATCAAATTGAAAATTTCTCAATAGTTAAGTCCTTTTAGTTGAATATATGAGCAAAATTTTTCATCATGAAGTGTTCAGTAATTCAATGTCAATGTACAATTTTTTTTTCATAGGTAAAGGTCAGTTAGGTTTATTTACACCTTTTTTTTTTACTATTAATTTAGGTAGCATTTGAATGCATTCATAAAAAAGTACGAGTGTGGCAAAATAATTCTGTAAATGATGGCTGGCATCAATAGACACTACCGTGCTGTGTGAAGCATCGGGTAAATATCAAATTTGGAATTTCTTAATGATGGATGGCAAGGAAAGAACAACTGTAGAAATACTGTATGCAAACACACATTACACTAATCAATCATGCTTTGAGATATCGGTACAGTACAGTATTCACTTTTCTTACCAAAAACAGTGGCATTCTAGAACCTGATTTGTTTTCTGAGGCTGGGAAAAAGAAGAAATAATGACCCCAGTAAACCAGAGGTAGTTGATCTGAAAGGTGTGTTAATGATGCCCTAGTTTTAGAAGCTTAACTAGAATGCTGACTTCAGACATCTTGGGCAATAATGATTTTAAATTAATGTATACAAGATGCAATCCCTTACCGTATGTCTGAAACACTCCAAAGTCATCATTCTTATGGTTGTGTGAAGACAACTGCATACAGTAATGTGAAATAACAAAAAAAAGACCAGAAAATTTGTTGGCAAAAAGGCGAGTGGTGCTTCCCATGTAAGGAATATTCAGAGAATGATTTGTCCCAGATACAACTATGAAAAATTAAGTCAGGTGTATTTCCTTGTTCTCATAAATATGTTATTGTTTGTATTATTTGCTTACATATTTTAACATTATCATCATACCCATATTGCTCTGTATTTAAAGAAGAAAAGTTTAGTATCTATCATAGTAGCTTAGCACTTTATGGAATTTTTAACATTACAGCACAGTATATCTTTTACACCTGTTCAAAAAATACTCGGATTTCCTGGAAACTTTTATTTATGGTCTTTTTCTCCCAGAGTTAATAGGATTTTATGTGTGTATGTGCACAATAGAGAGGCATTACAATTTTTTTGAGACTGGGTAATTTTTCATTCACTTCAATATGTGTGTATTAATGATATGAAACAGTCTCTGGCAAGATAGTTATGAAGTTCCCATAACAGAGGAGAGAGTCTTAATAGAAAGTATAGTAATAGTGAGCTAATAACTCCCTTATGGTGGTCCCTCACAAGTACTGTACAGGTATTACATAGAGAGTGAAGGTAGGTTCCATAAATCTGACGCGCTTAGACACTGATGGAAGAAGTTTGTGAATTATGGTTCTCCGAATAATGGTCTTTTCTATACTGCAACGAACTTGATAAACTACCACATATTCTCACCACTGTACAGGGTATTGTACTTCATTCATTGCTCTTATTGTCATTTATTTTCTAGTCCCAGGCCAGGGAGTTAGGCAAGAAGGAATGACAAGGGCTATGTGGTAAATAAAACACTTGGTTGCCACATGCAGCTTTAATTAACTCATTTCACTACATAGTATCTGAAATAACACAAAAGCAAATGTAACAATTCAAAGAGGAAGCAACAATGAACATGATATAACATGGTGGTTTTATCCTAATAATGAAATAAACTAAAATGATAATTACAAGCAAGAACAAAATAATATTACAGTATTTTCCATGATGATATCTTAAAAGTATCACAGGTTATATTATATAACCTGTGATACTATTATAAACGAAATCCTATATAACTTATATAGGATTTCGTTTATAATAGTCCTAGACATCTAGCGGTGCGAGGTAACCGTTCTCTCGAGTGTGCTGAACGTACCCTTACAGTATAACTTGCCTGCAGAACCTATTCCTTCTTAACTGCCAAATAAGCTTTAATTACATTGGCATATTTAAATTTCTAATGAGTTTAAAATATCCAGATTTTTTAGACACATTTTCCCAGAAAATTGGTAAAACCGATCTGGCACTGGCAACACTGGTTCTACTCAACGCTATCAAACGGACAGGACCTCTTCTCGACAAGCTCCTCACCACAGCAACGCCCGAGCACTGCATTGTACATACAATACATGTAAAGTTAAGCTATTCTGAGTTTCCTTTCTCGCCTCCATCCTGAGTGCGAAATCTCCCTTATTGTACGTGTGTATGTGGCCACATCAAATATGAACTTTACAACTGAGCCTCATCACCACGCTACAATATAACCATGCGTCATATACAGTAGTATTTTTTCGAAGTAATATTTGTAAGAAGGGAATGTGTTATTTTAATTGCAGGGTTTTGGTGTTTTTCTTGTTTATATGAAATTTAAAAACCTTAAACTAGTTAAACGAAGATCTTTTTAAAGGAAGTATCTGATCACTCGGGTCTACCAAAGGCCACACGGGTATCACAGTACAGTTAGTTGACTTCAGTGTACAGTACCTTAGGATGCCTATTAAAGTCTCTCCATGTAAATATTTATTATGAAATTATCTCTAGGAAATATGTGATTTATATTACATTAAACTGTTTTGTAGTGATTTTAGTTAATTTTAACTTGGAATAAAGTTTCATAAATGTCACCATTAGTGTCATAATACAGTTGAACTTTAGAATTCGCGGGTTTGTGCTTGTCAGTTTTTGTGTGAAGAGGTGAGTTACTTTTAGAGTTGTTAAACATTTTTCCATTATGAAAATACGGATTTGTGTTGTATATGACGCGGAAGTCAGATTTAAAGTTCTCGTGCAGGAGCCAATAGGGAAGAGGCAACTGAAGCTGTTATAGTTTCTAAATTTTGCAGGTCTTGGTAAGCTTTGAATTATCTTTACTGTATGGGATGTGCAACGTATTGACGTATAAATCTACAACTTTCCTTTGAATGACATGTTATTGTTGCTATTATACAGTTTTGGCAGTGTGTGAACAAGGATCATTGTTTAAGGGTTATAAAACTTGCCACCATGCCGTGTATCACCTCTATTTGGAAGACTCCCTGCTATATTACACAGAAAGTATTTAATTTGATATCTGGTACTAATGAAAGCAACTATCTTTAAGTGGCATGGTGTAATTTTATGCTTTTTGTGAACATGACCGAGCTGCTCGTGTAAACAAAGACCACATGACAACAGGCACTGACAACGGCTGGTTTTTCGGAGGAATATTTAAGGGAAATAATCAATTTCTTGACATACAAAGCATGTAGAGACATCATTTTATTGTTGTGATCAGTTTTTCATCTTGTTTTACTTGGCAATTTCCCTCATCCTTCATACCCTGCCCACTACTTATAATAAAAATAAAGTCATATGCATCAGATGCAGCTTAAAAAAACTGTATTAAATGATGCTAACCCTGTGTATAATGTCATCAGCTTTTGATAATGAAATGTCACTGAACTCGGGGTTAAGTCATTACAGTCAAAGGATCAAAAGTGGAATAAAAGTCTTTGTATGTTTATTTATTTTTATTTTTTTATAATAATTACTGTTCTAATGTGTTTCTTGTGCATGCTCAACAGACTACCAAAATGTCTTCGACAAGTCAGAAGCATCGTAACTTTGTGGCTGAGCCAATGGAGGAGAAGGAGGTCACAGAACTGGCAGGAATTGGTCCAGTACTAGGACAAAGACTCTCCAGTAAAGGCTTTGACAAGGTGAGAGGAGAGTGTTCCCTGGCATTACTGGCACTGAGAGGTGATTTGCCCCCTCTTGATTTGTGTTAAATTTATCTGAAGGAACATATGCAGTCAGAGCAATGTATGATAAAATTAAAAATACAGTGGAGTCACAATAATCCCCGGGTTAGGTATAGGAAGACGTGAATTATCAAGGTGTGAGTTGTAGTTTAATAGATTTAAATGGAAAAACTAGTTTGGTTTCAGAGGCCATTTACTGTATTCCCATAAACCATTCCAAAATTGCTTTAATTAAACACTAAGTAACATACATAATACAGTACACCAAAAAATACAGTAGCTCCTAGATGATGCACAAAAAGTACCTCTGCATTGCATAAATATAACTCCTTCCCTTCTCTTAATCATCCGGTAATATTGCAATAAACAGCAACCACAGAATTCCGGAAATTCACTACACTCAGTCGATAAAACTATTTTTTCAATGATCATTTTCTTATATTACATTAGGTTAGGTTAAGTATTTTTTTTTTTTTTTTATCAGATTCTTTGGTAGCTGTAATCTGCAATTTTACCAATCATCCTGTTGGTTACACCATCGAAACAGGCAGGCGCCGGTCTGGCTGTGAGCACGCTATGTAAATAAAACACCAGAAATTTAATGCCTCACAATAACTCATCTGGGGTCGAGTGTGGGATAAATGATCAATATCTATTGGGGAAAGTGGTACATGGCTTGGGGTTAGGGTCATCTCATACCCAAGATAAATTGTACTCAAAAAAGTTAACTTGTACCCACGCCAACTCATACCTAAGATGACTCATACCCAACTCACGAGATAACCGTACCCAAGATTACTTGCGCCCAATTCAAGAGATAATCCATACCATGCATAGGTAGCTGCTGTGACACGTTATTATAGCTTATTACGAACTATTTAGGGCCAGATTAAGGGAGGGGCAAGTGACCTGGGCCCTCTCAGACAAGCCCCCCATGAAATAAAAACAGAATTGAATTTACCACAGTTTGGTGGATTTATGTAAAATTTTAGCTTCAATGATTACAAAAAAGTTTATGTTAATTTTGTAGGACAGTGCAGTGAAATGTAATACAGGCTTTAACATTGGTTGCATCTCATTACATAAGTATCTTATTCCATCATTCAAACATTGCACTTCAAGTACATATTTCACACTGTGTGGTTTAGAATAACTTTATTGCAATTTACAGATTTCAAGCTAATAGATTTGGCAGTTTCAATTTATAAACTGGGCGATGTAAATGTTTAAAATACCCTGTAGTCAACAAAATATAGATATGGAGGAGTCTAGACATACATAAAAACAGATTGATTTTCCAGCTCCAGTTTTTTGTAAACAATCACTATTAAAACCAGTCTGGTGATTGTGATGCTTGTGTGAATTATACAAATCTGAGATTGATAGATTTTCAATGTTGACCTTAAATCATAGTTGATTTTTGATTAGTGATTGTCAATTAAAAATTAGATTTGATTTATTGCAACTCATATTCAACAAATGGGAGCAAGAGTTTTGCAGGAATTGGTGATTATTCACAAGACATAGATTGTTTGGGGATTTGGCAATTTCTGGTATGTGCTTTCATAGTTTTGCATTACCCCTGTTGTATTGTTCCCCTGTGTGGTTTTCTGCTGCACATTCACATCTAAAACTGTTAAATAGTGTCTTTAGAATAGCAAAGTTTCTTTGTGGTGGTGAATTGTTGTGTGATCCCTTTCATTGTCATGCTGTTAGAAATTTGTCCATGCTTTATATATGTATATGGGTATGAACTCCCGTAAATTAGGTAAGACTTGACATGTTCTGATGGGTACGATTTGCTTGAGTACGAGTTGTCTAGCACCGCATGGTTTGTGGTTCCAAGTAAAGCAAAAACAACCTCTGATAATAAATGTTACTACATGTGAATTAACAAATGTCATCACCTCATTATCAAAGAATGAATATTCCCTTAACTTGTATTATGTTGTCCATTTTATTCTATTTCAAGTTGATACAACAGGACATAAAAGTAGACATACATAATTCTAACCCAATACCACCACCACTGGCCACTGTGAACCCCCCCCCCCCAGCACAAATGTTAATTATGAGAAGTTCATATTAACAAATAGCATATAACTTCTGTATATCTGTTTAATATCAATGAAATCATCTCTGCTCATCAACAGGGGCATTCTACCAACTAATGTCTCTTCTAGAGGACCCCTGACCCTACCACCAAGTAACAGAGGTTCATTACTTACATGGGAAACACTAAATTGGACTGTGACCTGGGCCATCTACCCCTTTTGTGTTGTCACAGGACTCCAGGACAACTTGTGCTTGCCCCAGAATTTTTGCTTGAGCTGCTTCTCTCTGACTCGCATTTATACTGTAGCCATTACTTTTCAAGGCCACAAACTTTGTGGTGTCTCCAAAGTCCATTTAGTAACATGGGTCATGTGATGTGACCTGTACATAGTAACAGCGTCATGGTGGTATGGTTGCTAGGCCAAGTAGTCATGTAAGTAGGACAACCTATGAGCCAAGATAGGGAGTCTTATTAGTTACTGGGGCCAGATTCACAAACAACTTATGATAATTTTTTTGTCCCTTCAGCCACCTTTAAGGCTGAACGGGTGATTCACTAACATTTACGAACTTATCACACAGCAAGCGCAGCAGTGTCCTCCGAGCACTCGTAAGCTTCCACAAGACGGAAATAAGGTCATATAACTCCCTTTTTCTCTAATATACAATCCATACCAAAACACACAGAGCTGCCAGACATGCTTCAAGCATCGCTAGTGAGAGTGAAGCTGTGAAGATGGAACTAATGATTGCTTTAGCTTATGACTGCACTCAGAGGGAAAGGGTGGTTTGGGATTCTTTGGACCCTCTAGAAATAGATGACCACCTACTGCTATGGTACCTACAGATTTCCAGGTAGGGATATACAGTACAATGGTTAAATGACCTACTACAGCAAAATTGTTGGTTGATTGATGACAAAGTCTCATGTGGTCTCACCTCATACTTCTGTGCAAATAGCTTTGAGATTTTTTGCAAATGGTAGTTTTCAGAGTATAGTCGGTGACATTAATGGCTTATGCCAATCTCCTGTATCAAGAATTATAGATAAAGTGACAATTGCTCTACAGAAAAGCTAGAGTAGAAATAAAAATGCCAAGTGGAGTTAATGCGATTACAGAAACGAAGCGGAAATTTCACTGAATAAAAGGATTTCCTAATGTAGTTGGTGCCATAGACTGGACACATATAACAATAAAGGCAGGACTGACGCCACCAACAACTGATGTATTATTAGTTTATTGCACAATGAACAGAAGACTTACATATACCTTACCTTCTTCAATAATAATATAATTATATTAAAACATTAGACAAACAATCTCTAATGATAAATAATAAACAACAATTGAAGACATTTAAACTATTAAATATCTTTGGCATTGTTGTTCTTATGTGTGATCATTTATGTGTTGTCTGCTAACAAGGGTAGTTTGTGTTTGGTTAATATTCCTTCAGATTGTTTTATTCCAGGGACGGTGATTGGTCTAGTGAATAATTATTACAAATGCACCATAAATCTCTCTGATGGTAGCTTACTGAACTAAACTTCCATTCGGGTCTCGTACAATCCATTAGTGAACCAATTACCAAGATAGCACAGTCGTCTTAGCCTCTTGAGATAAAGGAAGTGCGATCAAAGTTACGACCATGTTAGTGAATCTGACCCCCGGCCTTATCCTGCCCCAGCTGGCATAAAGTAAATATATTATGCTATCTCTTGGCATTATATCTGCAATTGTTCACTTAATGAAACTTTTGTATCACTAATCCTTGTTTAATTACCACTCATTATACTTGGCCAAACAATTATTTTGATAATACAGTACTATACGGTAACTGTATATTGCTGGGCTCAGATGCTCAAAAGAAAGAATCCATTATCTATAATTATTTGTTAATCTGAGGTGTATTCCAAACCAACACTAGACCGTGGTTTATGGTTTGCACATGAGTTGTATAATGAAACTGGACATGAAATCAAAACAACTACATACTGTACACACACACATGCTTGTGCTAGTGCACACTCACACTCAAATACAGTGTACCGGTACAGTGTATATACATCATAGGTGAATTAATAATGTATTATTTATAAAAAGCAAGATAGAGAGAGCTTTCTCAGTTCAGTACACTTCCTCTCGCACCCTCCCCTTCCCTCCCACCCCCACACTACACCCAGTTCTTATCTCTTTGCTCTGCCTCTCATCCCCTAATCCCCTCTCCCTTCTCCCTTCAGACTTTACTGTACTGTACCGACATGAACCAGATTGAAATGCAGTTTTGAAAGCATTAATTTTTTTTCCAAAACTCCTGTAAAACAAACCACTGGCAGAGCATTCTCTCTTGCTTGGTGCCTTCTGCCTGCACAGCAAGTTGCCAGAAGCTGGTAGAATGCTGTTACTAACATTAAAAAATTTAATGACATTTTCTTATTTAATGTTCTTAATGCATACAGCACTTTTTTTTCCTGCAAGTTTATTAAGTCATAAATTGTTTCTCTAATTTTCTTTTGTCACACAAAACCAAGTATTGAGTGATTGTCCTCACTCCCTTGGGAGGTTTGTGCTGTTCCTCATGATACATTTAGCTAGGCTGTGTTGGGGAAAAATATGTACTGTATATATAATTCATAAGAAATGGTCACATTTTGGATGATTTGAATCTTGAAACTTGTGTTTTGGGTGGTTTCAACTGCACAGTACGCCCTCAATAACTCGGAATATCATAACTCGACATGGATATGGTTTCGGAATATATTATAGTATAACTTGGGAAATGCCGATATATATATAATTATCTGGGAAAATCTTGGCATATCTGGCCACCTGCATCACCTACTATGCCTCTGTGTCACCTATTATGCCCGTGTCACCTACCATGCATCTGTGTCACCTAACCATGCACCTCTCACATACTATGATGTTTCATTCTTTGTCTGCAGTGCTGATAAGTGTTACTTTTTTTTACATTAGTAATTCCATGTACAGTACACATATATGGGTCAATAAGTTTTTATTGTTGTAGTTTTGTAGGTGGGGGGGGGGAAGTGCCTCGATAAGTCGGAATTTGGTATAACTCGGCAAGGCCTGAGCCCCATACAGTGGCCCCTCGTTAACTAACTCAACTGTTCCAGAAGGTCGTTCGTTAACCGAAACGTTCGTTAACCGAAACCATTGTTTCAATGGGTTTTTGGGTAATTGGTTCCAGCTCACCGAAAATTTCCTAACTTCAACAAAAATGGCGGAAAAATTTACTTACTTTGAGGTGTGTATGTAGAAGGCTCCTGGATGATGGTGATGATGTGCATTTGAAGTGGGAGGTGCAGGAGGAGAAGGGAGAAGAGAAGGAAGTGGAGGTGGAGGAGAAGCATTTTACTGCTTCTTGGAAGGTGAGTCACCTTCCATGAAAATGTCAGGAACCTCTGGACTGACAGATTCTCCACCATGAACATCCTCTCTCCTTCTTGAAGTGGAAGGCTGAGGGCTAGCATCTTGTTCCCTCTGCCTTTTACTGAAGAAAGTGTCAATTGTGGTCTGTGGGGCATCTGTCCTCCTCACCATTAACTTATGTTTAAAGAAGGAGACCACTGAGTCCTCAACATGACACAAAGTTAGTTCAGTTTTTTCCACTTCTGGGTGCTTTGAAGCCAGTTCCCTGAACTTCTCCCAGTGGTAAATCACATCTTTCAACTGTTTAGCTGACATATGGTCATCACTTTCAATTTCCTCCTCACCACTGTCAGCCTCTACCCGTAACATCTCATCCAGTTCCTTCAAGTCATTAGGAGTAAGTTCCTCCTCATGAGACATCACAAGCTCTTCCACATCCTTCTCCTCCACTTCAAGACCCAATGACTGACCAATGGACACAATCTCCTGGTCCAACTCTGTGTCATCCTCAAATCCCTCAAAATCATGGACTACTGATGGCCACAGTGCTTTCCATGAAGAATTGAGGGTTCTATTGGAGACTTCTTGCCATGATGACACAATCAATTTTACAGCCTCCAGGACGTTGAATTGTGTCTTCCAGAACTGTTTCAGTGTTAGTTCAGGATCAATGGAAGTTGCCTGATGACACCTCCTAAACATTTTCTTCATGTACAACTTCTTGAAGTTGCTGATCACATTCTGGTCCATTGGCTGTATGAGTGATGTAGTGTTTGGAGGCAAAAACAACACTTTCACAAAGTCAAATTTATACTCCAAATTTCTGGCAAGGTCAGGGTCATGACCAGGAGCATTATCCATGAGGAGAAGAGCCTTTAAAGGAAGTTTATTGGTGGTTAGGTAGCTCTTGACAGAGGGGCAAAACACATCAATAGCCCATTCATTAAAGAACTGTCTTGTCACCCATGCCTTACGGTTGGACTTCCAATAAACTCCAAGCATTGTTCTTACCACTTTCTGTTGCTTGAACACCCTGGGGTTTTCAGAGTGGTAGACAAGCATAGGCTTCAGTCGGAAATCCCCTGAAGCATTGGCACCAAGCAATAGAGTGAGACGGTCTTTCATGGGTTTATGCCCAGGTAAAGAGGCTTCATCCTTGGTGATGAATGTTCTTTTGGGCATCTTTTTCCAGAACAGCCCAGTTTCGTCAACATTGAACACTTGCTGTGGAAGATAATTTTCTTCTTCCATCAGTTTTTTAAATTCAATTAAAAACTTTGCTGCCCCTTCTTTATCAGCACTAGCAGCTTCACCATGCCTAACAACACTTAAAATGTCACTTCTTTTCTTAAATTTTTCGAACCAGCCTTTGCTAGCCCGAAAATCTTCAAATTCTGTTCCTGAAGAACTAGGTTGATCTGTCTTTAAATGTTCATAAATCTCCCTGGCTCTTTCACAAATGAAATCACCAGAAACTGAATCACCTTTCATCTGTTTTTCCCTAATCCAGATGATAAGTAACCTCTCAGTTTCTACGATTAGGGATCTACTTTTAAACACTCTTGTAGATTTGTCTCTCACGTTCACTTCCTTAAATTTGTCTTTTTGTGCAAGAATTGTCGACACAGTTGATGCCGACATGCCATATTCTTTGCATAGCGCATTTGATTTAATACCTTGTTCGTGTTTTTTTATTATTTCCTGCTTCATTTGGATTGAAATCACTTTTCTTGATCTCTTAGGCCCCATGCTGGATTCAAACAATGGCAACACGTATTTTTCAAAGTTAAACTAGCTGTAAATAAAGAATATTTTCTTTAAAATAACACTGCACTGCACTATATATTGTCAATATGTAAAATAATTTTCAAAATGACCAATAATTTGCTTGGAAACACAGAAAAAAAGCGTTTAGTTGAAGAGAGTCTCAAGCAAGATGTTACCTCCAGTGAAAACAGAGAGAGACTGACGCCTGTTTGCTGTGTTAAGAGGCTGGATGCCGCGCATTAAACTAGTCACTTTACCTTCAATTTTGTTCAATAATTGTTAAAATGACTAAAAAATTGAATATTAAACTTTTAAAATAATTGAATAGTATAAACTTCTTGATATTTACAAAAATAGTAAGGAATTTAAGCCCTAGAACCGATTAATGTATTGGCGGACTGATACTAAAGCTGGTTGCCCGGTCAGTGCAAGCGAAAACATGTTGAGGTCGGTTCGTAAGAAGTTCGTTAAGCGAAATTTTTTTCGTTAAACGAATTGAAGATCCTTATGGAAGGCAGTTCGTTAATCGAAATTACGTTAACCGAGGTGTTCGTTAAACGAGGGCCACTGTATATGCCAAGTTATCGAGGGCTTACAATACCTGTATTTAAAAGAAAAAACATTGAAAACTTCAGTCGACTTTTGGATGTATAAAATGTCTGTTTTAAATATTGTCATCTACAGTACAGTATGTCTATTATCATTAATATAACTGGAACAGCTGGAAGCTAGTTAAATCTCAACAGTTTTTCATAGAATTTGAATAAACTTAATGGAAGGGTTAAGGTATTCACTGTCTTACAGTTCTAGTTTGGATCTCATTCAACACATACTGTCGCTGGAGCACACATCACAGCATTTGTCCCAACTTTCTTTTATCTTAACGTGTGCTTTCTCAAATCAGTTTCAGTAAAATTCTTTTTATGTCTTTAATAGCATATATCTTTTTTGTGTTTCCTTGTTCATGTTCATTTCCTTTTTCCACACCAGGCATATGTGGTTCTTGGCCAGTTTCTGGTCTTAAAGAAGAATAAAGAACTCTTCATCGATTGGCTGAAGGATACTGCTGGAGCCAATGTCAAACAAGCTGGGGACTGTCATCAATGCCTTTCTGATTGGTGTGAAGAGTTTTTGTAAATGCTTCCCTTGGATTAATTTACTTCCAAGGCATTCAAAGGGCTTTATGGGGGGATCAAATACAGTTTTAAAAAAACATTAAGCACGACATAATTTTATTCCTTAAAACAGACTCGAGATGTTTATAATTTATTATACTAAACATGAATTTTCTCTGTAAAATCAGGGACTCTTTTTTTTTTTTTTATGTACATTACTCTTCAGCGATAGAAATAAAAATGATAGTCTATTTTTACATAAACTTTGTGTTGTGCATAAGAAAGGAAAAGCTAATATATATTACAATTAAATTTATTGACAAGCATTCGTGCATTGATAGTGAATTCATATGATTTACACTGATTTTGGATAATTCTTCTCATTATAGACATTTTTACTTGACTGTACAGGTCATATTTAGAGGGAATGTCAGTAATCTCGTCATGTTTATTTAGTGAACCTTTATGGTCTGTACCTAATCTTCGCCTGTGTTTGTATTTTTTTTTATTGTTTTCATGTTTGAAAATTTTGATATTAAAATGTATCAAAAATAAAATGTCTTAATTAAACAACATTTTTTTTATGATATACGATATGCATTAGCATGAGTAGGAGACCAGGTGGCCTTGTTCACACATAGAATTACTATACTATGGGAAAAGTTTGTTTAAGTATTTTAATTTCCCTTAAAGGGTTACAGTACACTACTGTACTGTATTATCAACACCAATGTCATGTGTAAGTCCATCTGTGTATGATATTAACCCAACTTTTGTCAATGTAACTTGCTTTTCAATTAACTGTGGTTGTATTTGAAACAGGTTGGGTATCATCCTTACCCTACTATGATGTACAGTTGCCAGCAAAGGTCCTCCCACAAACTTGCTACACAGGGCTGTGGGAGAACATTTGCTGGCAACTGTACCTGTGTTCAAAGTTCACTGTTAGTCATGAAAAAGACCGGTTAAAGGGTTCTCAGTGATTTTTTATTCCATTGGGTTCTTTAATCCCCCAAAAGGATACAACATCAGATGCCACATACTGTTATGTGTCCATCCATCTGTGAGTAAGTTTTTCTCACAGGATATTGATTTTAAGGTCTGCAACAGCACTCAATACCTTCCGGGAATAATGCATGTCTTGGAATTTCTAAAAGATCAAAATGGGGTAAGCTGTAAATCTCCAAAATGTCCATTTTCATAATTTTCTGATTTTTTGGCAGGGTATATGCAATCACTGGTCAGTTATTTTGTATGCTTAGCCACATTTGTTTTATTATACAGTACAATTCTATTCATTGTTGAGCTACACTTTCTCAGTCTTCACTTTCTTGTTATTTTTCTTTGTTTCCTGATCACATGCATATATTGTATCTCATTGCAACCAAATGACCCCGTCTTTGTGTAAAAGAAGCCAAACCAGTAGTAGAATTCTTAAGCAAATAATTGAAATTTTTTTGGGTGTTATGAACACTGATATGGTTGTTTACTGAAATGGCCTGGCCAGATTCTATTTATAGCCACCAGTGTAAGGGAAGATCATATGTGCTGTATATGAATACTAAAAGTTGCCAAATTTGTCAGGAGGCTTTACTTCTAATCTAGATAGATATAGTATCTCAAAAAAGTATCTGCCAGAATGGGTCTGATGGCTTTCGAAATGCTACATGCAACTCGTGATATCCCGGAAGGGTTGGTATGCATAGCTCTGTGGCATACTGATATTACTACATTTAGTTACCAAACATCATATTGATTATGCTGAAATAAATGCACATTGCATTACTTATGTTAAATTATATACCAAAGTAAGTGCATGTCCCAACATCTATCATCCATGGTCTTATAATTTTTCACACAAAGTGTGGACAGATGCTTTTTTGAGATACAGTACTGCACCTACCCTGTAACTAAATACTGTACAGAAAGTTGTCACATTTACACGTTTAGGCCAAAGTGCACCCTTGGATATTGGGCATGGCCATTTTTACTCAGGTCTTTTAAGAAGATCAACACAATATTGCCAACTTCCCCTGAGCCCTGACACAGTATGATGGGTCAACTTGCTGCCAGTATCATACACAGAGTATTAATGCAAGTGCTGTCAAGATGATGATGTGTCATGGGTCAGCCAGTCATGTTATATACAGGGTGGGTAAGAAATAATCACAGGGCTGTAGAAACCTACATTTATTAGTTATTTCCTGTCCACTCTGTACAGTACAGTTGCAGTTAAGTCCACATTGTCTTGTTCCTTCAAAGATGCTTCACATTTCTGACTTTCATTTTGTTTCCTCAATTTAGCCATCAAATCTCTGTGCAGTTGCTCAGTTTTTAATGTTTTTATTTTTTCTTGCATCATCTTGCAATAGTTTGTGTGACATCTTGACTACTTCTTGAAACTGAATGTCATTGTCTACTGGTAGTTATAGCAAACCTTATTAGTGGCTGGCAAAATCACTTTTGTTTACATTAATCCACTTGCAATGTACAGTATTTTGAGAGCCTATTCCTTTTTTGCTAATTGTGTGAGCCATTGCATGTTCTCTCTGTTTGATCATTGCTATAAACAAGACACAAAGGAACAAGCAACAATATGGAATAATTTTTTTCTTTCTTTTAAGACATCCATAACTTGAGCCCAGCAGTGATCAAGCATATCTTCTTTGGGCTATCAAACATCTGGTTTAACCTCTTGAGAATAATCACAGCATTCAAAACAATATGTCTGAACCAAAGCCTGATCTTGGAGGCAATTTCTCAGCAATACATGTGACTCATCTAAAAAATTATGGTTCTTTGCAGACAAATAGGTTGAGAAAAAGCAAAAATGATGCCAATTTGTCTTTCACCCGAAAATACCTGAATTAAAAAAAAAAAAAGGATATTTTCTCATATAACTGGGGATGAAGGATAATAACAGACTTGGATGGATGAATGAAATTAAAAACTGGGTCCCTAAAGAGATCCAAAATATTGTAGGATTGGTAAAAACGTGTATGGTGGAGGACTGGTCGCCAACCCTCAGATTGGAGGACGTTACTTTGATTAATTAGGATTTAATTCACCGTTTATTAGTTTACTAGCCGTTCAAGCGGTTGGTCCCTTCCTTTGTTACGAACTTTATTGTCCAGTGTTAGTACGGGAGATTGAGTAAACCTGTAATTGGTACAGTAGTGTCACTAAACATGCCTTCCCACTCTTGTCTCGGGCTGGGACTCGAACCCAAGATACTAATGTAAGGGATGCATATTTTACCACCGCTCACTGAGTATCACTAACACTTATGAGCAGTTCTAACACGGATACACGGTTTGTATGTGATTCACTTAAAATAATTTTAGATTATTAGAAGTAATTTATCATAATATAAAAGTCATTAACTCAGTTTATTAACAAGTTCACTGCTACTGCACATATCAGTGTCAGGACCAAATGTTTGTAAACAAACAGTACGGATAATCTCATAGTAATTATGGATAAGTATCACGTTATTAGTAATTGGAAAATAGCTGATGCAAGTACAGTACGTAGAGTTAACGCTATTCTGAGTTTCCTTTCTCACCTCCATCCTGCGTGCGAGATCTCCCTTAAGTTACGTGTGTACTGTATGTGGTCCTAAAGAAAAAGTTGACACCTAGAATAAAGAGAAAATTGACAACCTCACCACATACACACGTTACACTGTATATAGGTATGATCATGCATACTGCACAATCAAAAGCGTGCGTGCATTTCATATCATGTCTCGGGTTCAATCCCCGGGTATGATGCGAGAACGGTGTTACAGTATTATTATTATCCACTGCGACCCTTCCAAAACTTCACTTTTTTTTTCCGGGTACTCTGGTTTTCTCCTGTACTAACACTGGACAATAAAGGGCAGACCGATCGTCCAAACGGTTTGTAAGTGGTGGAATTTATTACAAATAAATACATTAAAGAATTACATATACTGTATAATAGTCTCAAATTGGTAAATTTGCAGTTACAGCCCCAACTACTGTTCGACCATACATTTCCTTTCCCAATGGTACTTGGTCTCGTATGAATTTGACATTCATTTCAATTGGAAATGAGTCGGTTTTTTAGTTTATCAGGCCCCCCCATTGGAACCTGACCCAACCAACAAAAGAAAGTTAATAAAACTACCTAACCTTACTCAACTTCCAAGCCCCTCATATATATACAGTACTGTATATATATTTCATTAGCCCAATAAAGCACGCGGACTTCTACATACAATCAACACCTCAACCCGCCAGGATTCGAACCCACGGCCACAAGCCTATGACTGTGACCGGGGAACGCTAACCGCTGGACCACCAGGATACTAAAAGCAGTCCTAGACTTTGTTATATTTCACACAAAGCCTGTTCAACGAGCTTATGGCGCCGTGAACCTCTAATGGGGACCACCCGTATCACTTAGGTGGTCAGAGTAACGTTTTACCAAATCCGGCTTCGAAACACGAGGATCCATATATATTTCATTAGCCCAATAAAGCACGCGGACTTCTACATAAACTAATGAATGAATTAAATTAAAATGTTTTATATCAAGATTGTGTTAATTAAGCTTGACCGTAATAAAAATAAAGTCTAAAATACGTATTAGTTAGTATAGAAGATCAAGCATACTAGGAAAAATATCTAGTGAGCCAAATAAACGATGTTACTTTATACTATAACTAAAATGCCTAAAACTTTTTGTATTTCTATTTTTCACATTAAGTGAAGCTAACTTATACAAACTTTGAATAAGAATATTATTAGTCATTAATAATTTATTAAATGTAGTTGGGATTATTGCGCTAGGTCTGTAAATAGACAAATTAATCTAATGCGGTGTGAAATATCTAATAACCGACTTAAAATTAATTATTTTTTAAACGATAAGATATTAATAAGCCAAAGCTAGTCTAGAATAAAATAAAAATTTATTATTAAATCAACACTTTAATCAAATAAATAAGGAATAGTTTTAATAGAGAAAAATACAAAAATAAACCATAGAATATGTTCGTGGAAATAGAGACAACAAATGACGTCATATCCAGCAAAAAGAGATGCTAGTGGATGTGAAAAGCGACTTGCTTATCTTACAGAACAGATCTCCACGACTACATAATTATTTAGAGGCGAATATCGTGAGTTATGGGCTATTTAGCCACTTATTACTACCTGTAATAAAAATATAAGAGTGTAAGGAGTTAGTATATATGAGGACAAGGTGAGGGAATAGGGTTAATGCGGTTAAATAAGGTGATATATCGCACGCATACTTTCATATACAAACAATACCTCACTAGTCGGGAATCGAACCCTGGACCTCTTCGTGTGAACAGGGATCGCCACCATGCGCCACAAGATACACAAGTGCAAAGTATGGGATGTTTGTGCTTTTTGGGTATAAAGTTTTTATCTTATAAAATATCACAGACTAGACTTAGCAGAATATACCTAACTTGCATTGCTTAAATCCTTGTAAGATAGTGATTAATTTGAGTATAAACATCACATAGTTTGCACAAGAGAAATTTTGTTGTCTTTTAGTGTAGTACATTTGAGTACAAAGTGTGTACAGTAATATTTTGCTCAAAATTATGACATTTTCACATTTAATTTACATTTACTATTTGTTTAATTCAAGTTTCTCGCAGTCCATGGTGCTTTATAGACACAGGCAGTGTATAATTAGTGGGTCAGGGGTGTATTATTGAATTATTATTACGTGACCTCGGTTGGTCCAGCAACACAGATAATCCAGCAAGGCTTTGGAACCAAGGGTACCAGAAAATCGGTGGTTTATCTTTACTTGTATATTTTATATATGTATATACTGTTACATGTTATATATATGTATACTGGTATATTTTATATATGTACAATATATACTAGTATATTTTATATACTAATATATGGTAATTATTGACGACTGACCTACTACCGACTTTTCATAGATTTTTTTTTTTTTTACCTACAATTTTACTGTTTTCTATAGTGGACACTGTTGTAGTTTGTGCAAATGTGTTAAAAAGTGGTTATTTCTAAATTAAACCTAACCTAACCCCAAGTTTTTTATAGTAAATATAATATTTTGTTTGTTACAGATGATGTTACAACAAACCTTTGGGGAATTGAGCTGCTTCATAACAGATGAAAATGATAACTGGAGTATGAAACGAGCTCCCACCGGCACTATCACCAACACTACCATCACCATGGCACTATCACCACTGCCACCACCACAGCACCAACACATATGGCAAGGTAAACTAAAGGAACAGCTCTCATAGCCTATACAGGAAACCTCTGTGCCTGTCAAACTCTTAAGATAAATTGTTGTAAATGTGCTGCTGTTTGTCATTTGTCTGTCTGTCTGTCTTCCTTTTTTTATATCTTTCTATCTATTTAACAGTCAGTGGTTCTCAGCCTGTTGACCATGGGGGTAATTTAAATCATGTGAGTTCATAATACTCACAAGGATTGCCAGTTTGCCTTCCAGTAATGCCATAGCTGGCATTTAAAGGGGGGGGTGGGGGAGGGGTCGTGCCCAGTTTGATTTAATAGAAATAAGATTGTGATCAGAAGACCGTAAGGGGGCAGAAATTGAATACAAATAGTATGAGGGGTAAGGGGTAAAACAAAGATCAAGAATGTTAGTACAGGTAAGTTGATCATGTCGATCTGGAACACGTGTAGGGTGTTTAATTATTTGTTCCAGATCATTAAGTAAGGAAAAAGAGAGTGCCTCAGCTCCACCTGGGTCATCCTTTGCAGAGCCAAGCCACTCTCTATGATGTACACTCACTAAAAAATTATTTGGCTCCCGTGTCATATTGTATCACGCCGTAAGGGTGCCGAATAATTTTTTAGTGGGTGTACAGTAATGTTTGGTGTACAACATTACTGTACATAATACTTCAACAAGAATTTGTGAGGTCAGCCTGTAGCACTGTGTATTGTAGGATTTATTGAGGATCCCAAGAGTGAGTTTGAACTAACAGGAAAAAATCTGTTAACCTGGCATCTCTCAATCCCTGTAGGTGCCGGATAACTAGGATTGTACCTGTTTCTCTGTCTAAACTACTGTATTCATGTACCATTAATTTAGCTTGGAATATTAAGACAAAAATTACAGAGTTTGTCAAACATGCAAGGTAAGCTCACAGAATGACTATTAATATATGGACTTATTTTTATCATAGACTGTTGTGTATATTAAATGTTTTTTGTTTGTTTGTTACAGCGGAGTTAACGAGTAAATCCTGAGAAATTTACAACTGGATCATGGAGACACTGCTGTTACAGGTGTGTCTTTATGTCTGTCTGTCTGTTTTTCTCTATGCTGTATCTTTCTATATCTCAATTTTTTTATAGGTATATCTAACCATCTATCTTTATGTATCTGTATCTCTATACAGGGTATCTTTCTATCAGTCTTTCAATACCTGTAAGTCAGTCAGTCTGTCTGTTTGGTATCTATATCATCTGTCAGACTGTCTTTATCTGTACAAGTATCTGTGGAAGGTGGGTACACAAAGAAGTATAGTGAGTGAGGATGGTGGGTACATAAGAGGTGCAGTGGAGTGGATGGCAGACTACAGGATGTTGCTGACTGTAACTGATGTGTATGTGCAGGTGAATAAGTCCACGGCAAGACTGAAGAAACTCAACACTTAAGATTATCCCTGGACTGTGCGGATGAGTTATGCTGCCTGGGTTACATGATCAGTGCTGGAGGGGGTGCTGAAGGCTGCTGTGTTGTGAGTCATGGATGAGTTCTGCTGCCTGGGTGACATGACATATGCAGTCTTGAGTGAGCCAAAATGAGAATGGTGAGGTTGATGCGTACTGTGACGCTGAAAGCTAAGAATCCTTGTTCAGAGCTAAGAGGACGGCTGGGTATTGGGAGCATCGGCTAAGATTTATGTATAAGTAGACTGAGATCGGGCATGTGGAGAGAATGGATGAGACCAGCTGGGTTAAGTGGTGCATGAGTCTAAATGTGGTGAGGAGGAGAGCCAGTGGTAGGTAGGCCAAGAATGACATGGGAGAGATTGTAAAAAATGATCTTATGAGTTAAGAACCTGACAAGACAGACTGCAAAAAATGGTGCTGCATGGAGAATTACTGCAGCTAACCTGCACCAGCATGGAAAACGGCTGTATGATTTTGATGTGGATGATGGTAATTTCTATCTATCTATCTATCTATACTATTGTACTGTATTTCTTACCATATTAAAGGCAACCACTGGTATAGCATGCAAATTTAAAAATCCCAAGAAAGTTCACCTAAATCAAACTTGCATAAAAGGAACAAATATTTAAATGAGAAAAATTGCAATATGTTCCATAAACTGTACAGTACAGTACAGTTGACCCTCGCCAACCGAGGATTTCCCGTCCACGGATTCCAGATATTCACGGGTTTTACTCTACAAACCATTTCACACAACCACGGCTTTGAATTTCAAGAGTCTGTGGATAAATGTGGTGTCTTTATCCCTCTGCGGTCTAATGTATTCCTCCGTAAATGTGAGGAATGAATAAAAATAATAATAATAAATAAAAGGAAAGAAAAAATACCGCATTGCCATTTGACAATTGTTTCACTAAAGAAGCGGGAGAGAGGGGCATGCTCCCCCCTCTCCCTCACACGATCGTGGGCCGACTCCTGCGAACGTAATAAATTATTATTTTCTTTATGTTTTTGACCTTATGGTAATCATTTCTTTTATACACTCTGTATGAGCAACTACAGGTGCATATAACTAAAAAAGAATGAATCAAATTACATATAGTATCTACCCTAAAACACAAACTGAAATATAACAATAACACAGCTTGTCCTGGTTACAGTTATACAGTTATATATGATGTAGATTAAATTATGGAGATATTTGTTTGGTTAAAAATATGTCTTATATGGTGGGAAATATGGTCTCTCTCTCTCTACATCTTTCTGTCCTTCTGTCTTGTGTGTACTGTAGACAGAACTACTGTACTAACCATGATAGGCAGCACTGAGTTAACAATGCATGTGATTAATACCTGTAATACAAATATTTCCAGGAAAATGTCCAATATATTCAGCAACTAGACCACTTTAGTGATTTAGAAGAACCAAGAAAATATTGTTTTTTGTTTTTATATCAAAACACTGGTGATTGTCTCTCAGATATTAGGAGTTGTATACCTTTAGTGGTGCATTACTGTGTCCTGGGTTCATTTCCCAGCCTGGGACAGATGTTACCCTCACTACCAAACATGGCAGATTTTCTCCAGGTACATTTCTACAGGTTCCTCCCATACTGTGCAGTATTAACACTAGACAATGAAGGACATAACAAAGAGCAGACCAACTGCTCAAACGGCTCATTACTGATAGTTACGATGTCGCTACATTTACTTTCACAAAGGTGAATCATAATTTAATGTTGACTCAGCCATAGTGAGCTTCAACATTTATGCCAGTAATGTACTGATGAATGAATCTTGATCACACACAACTATAAGGCAGCCTTCTCTTGCCACTCCATCTTCCCTCTGTCTGATAACAAAAAAAGTATTACTGTACATTCCTTGGCCTTTATTGTGGAAAAGCTAAGAATTATTATTGTCTGAGGATGTAGTGGATCTCTGAGGTGACAGTCATGACCAATGATAAATATTTTGGTGTTAAGTCGGTGGTGTGAGTCTGGTAGTTTGTTGTGTGCAGGTCTGACCCACCTGGATCATCCTGTTACAAACTACTGCAGGGAGTGAAGACCTTCCTTAAAAGGTTTAACTTGGCAGCATTCAGAAGGTCACAGATCTGTATCGACACAGACGTCCTCAACGGACTTCATGGTTTATAACAACGCCATTTTTAATTACTTACTGAGTACATGAGGATGGATTACATTCTTAACTCTCAAATGGCATTCATAACCTGCAGAAGTAGCTGTAGGGATGGAAGTCATCATCAGCAGAAGTTAGCTGTAGGGATGGTAGTCATCATCAGCAGAAGTTTCATGTTCCATATTTACACATACAGGGGAGGGATGATCCTTAACCAGTGACTAAGTGATAAAGGAGGTACCTGTAGCTGCCTTATTTGGACCCAGTCTGTGGCCTCACACACGTGCTCTACTGTTTTTCTCTAAATCCAAGGTTATATAGAGAAGCTAACCTGAGGTCTGACACAAATTGTTCTGTTCTCTTTGTAAAGATTCATGTGTTATATAATACTGCACCACTTACTGTGGCCACAATTGTTGTACATTGTGGCCACTGTTGTTGTACTGTACATCACTTTTTGTATACCTGTACAGTATTGTCCATATACCTGTACCTGCATTGTCTATATACATGCTGGACTGGACTGTATACTGTACTTCATTGTCTATATATGTGGTAAGTATCGCTTACACACGCATAATTATTACTTAATTTGTTAAAGTAAAATTCACGTTTCTCCTAACAGTGCTTGGCCTATTGGTTCCAGTGCTTGGCTTTGAGCCTAAATTCCACAAATAAATCGATCAATTAATCCTAGCAGTACATGCACTCTCAGATGCTGTACCCAGCTTATTGTAGGAAAGATTTATGAGTCTCTAATTAAGTTCTATGAAGACTTCAACCAGCTGTCCCTTGGGGTACTGTACCATACTGCACTGTAGATGTAACATATAAGTAAGAACACAATATCTTGAACCTTGTCGGAAGTGTTCTTCCCCTGGGTGTGTTAACAGCTCTGGCAGTGTTCCACGTCTCAACACCAGGAACCAATCCTGTCTGACATGACTTAACTTATTAGTTTAAGGTATATACCGTACTCATTATAACTCAGTGTTATTTTTTTAGTGTTAAAATACAATGGTAATCAATTACTAGTTTATTTATATAAACTATATTTATATAAACTAATTTACCAGATTTAAAGTAAATGCCGAGAATAGTCAACTGGTCTCAACCCGGTGAACCATCTGATGGCCCCTTACGTTCATCAGACTAATTATTTATAATAGTAATAAATCATCACCACTATTTATATTTTTATACATGTGAGTCACGGATTATACAAATTACTGTAAGAAAGGCAAGATTGACCCATGACAACAAGACTATTTCACGTGAAATTCACACAAAACCACGACCCAAATATCCATACTGTAGGTGCTTCTTGGCTCCACGGGGCAAGTTGTTACCAAGTTTGATTTACAATTCACAATTATTGCATGGAATTATACAATTTCCACAATATATGTTGAACTATATACCTGCATTGTGTATGTTCTGAACTGTATACATTACCTGCATTGGCTATATGCAGATTGAGCCAATTGTAAACTTACTGGTATATGATAAGTTCAATGAATATATATACTATATATATATATATATATATATATATATATATATATATATATATATATATATATATATATATATATATATATATATATATATATATATATATATATATATATATATATATATATATATATATATATATGTATATCAAAAGTGGTCTAGTGTATAAAGTAGTCTAGTGTATGTAAATATTTTGATCTTTTCCCTGATAATGTTGTTTCATCACAGGTGTTACTCTGTTGTAGTGTGAGGTGGAGGTCAATATTAAACTGAGGTGTTTAGCTGTGGCTCTGGAAGATTGACAATTTGTCTTATTTTAATTATAAACCAGAACACCTTTATTTCTCACTGTTTATCCAGGTATAATTTGGCTAAATTTATGTTTTAAATTTACCTGGACTTAGAATGCCATCACAATATGTTATGAAATTAAAGAACAAATTTGTTTTTAAGGACTTTAGAATTAATATGATTTAGTGAGACTGTTGAACCGTCCAGGTACTTTACATATATTTACCATTTAGCTTAAACTAAACCATAAATACATTTTATTTTTCGTTAAGGAATTCTATCTCATTAGTTCGGCGTCATTTAATGTTGCCGTAAAATCTGTCGAGTGACTTAAGCGGCAATTATTCTGTTATAGTCATGGCAGTTAATGTTGTTTTAGGAGATACAGTTTATTGTGTAGTGATCTCCATTAAAACAAACTATTTTTATTGTCCAAATTTGCTGCGCTGGGTTACGAAGGTGTGCATGGTGGGAAAGGCTTTGGAATAAAGAATACTGAAGGTGAAAGAACACTTGAGTTTGGGGATGGTATGTAACATGTGTTTAAGAATAGGGCAAGTAGGCTGACCATGTAGGCCTGAGGCAGGTGGCACGGAAACCCAGATTGGCTACATTTTGGTCAGGAAATTAGAACAGGTCGCTTTTGTGTGTGTGTGTTACTTAAAGATGGAGGGAGAGGAAGAAGGTGGATGTTTCAAGAAGGAGAGTGTGGGAATTGTGAAGGAACTGAATGTAAAGGAAGCATTTTCTTGTGAGTTGAGAGACTAGGAAACAGCCAGTGAGGGGCAGTGTACCAAGACGCTGGGCCATAATGAAAGATGTTCCGTTGAGTGTGGTTGATGGCGGGAATGATGAAGTGGAGAGAGAGAGATAAGAGAAAAGAAGATTGTGTGAGACGTGGAAGATGGTTAGAAACAGAGAGAAGTACAGTACCTGGAGGCTAAACTGAGATGGTTCAGGAGAGAAAGGAGGAAACTAACTGTGTCAAGAGATACAGGAGTTAGGCAAAGAATAACATGAGGACAGGTTGTAAAGAAATGTTGGTGCTTCTATAGTAACTGAGTAAGTTTGTTGCTTGGAACAATATGAACAAACTGAACAGAAAACGAATGAATAATTGAAAACAAAAAATTAAGAAATTGTCAATAATATCAAAATATTCGGAACTCGGTTAATTCGTACTTTCAGTAATTCGGGTGACCCAGAGTCTCTTTTTGCTGATTCAATGAGGGTATAGTGCAGTTTGTGGTCCACCAAATTACTGAAAATACAAACTAACCGAGTTCCGAATATTTTTACATTATTTGACAATTTCTCATTTTGTGTTCAATTATTTATTTGTTTTCTGTTCAATTTGTTCAGAGTGTTCCTCATTATTCCAACCAACAAACATACTCAGTTACCAAGCCTTGACTGCCACATAAAATACTCTATTTATAATTACTGTGCAAACAAATATTTTTTAAGTGTACAAACAGTAATAATGAAGTTAATAATACAGTAATAAATAAATGTAAGACTTACTGTACATTGTGAGGTGAACTGATAATATGTTGATGATAGTATTGAGGATCAGGTCTGGGGTCCACTGCTGTCATCAAGAAGATTAATCCCCAACCTACCTAACTCAGGAGACTGATTCCTTTGTTCTATGTGTTTCTCCCTTGTTTGGTGGGTGTTAGTTGGCAGAAGAGGGACCTACCCGGTATTGTGTGTTTTTTCCCAGCTGAGAAGAGATACGTAATTTGTGTCTTATTGTGGGTAAAAATAAGTATATATTAAATGCGTCCTCCGAAAGCGTCAATTTGCCACCAGAGTTTAACAGTTAATTCTTGTATAATATTTCTGATAAACTTCCTACGTGTTTAAGTTTGAAATAATTAATGTATGTATATTTATATAATTTAGCTAAATATCTTTCTCGTCAGAAACGGTCATTATGAATAAACTCCTTTAGAAATACATCATTACTTCAGGACGAGATTTGAAACAGCCAATCAGGTGTAACTCTTGAGGAGGGGGCGGGACATCTCTTCTCAGCTGATACCCGGTAAATGCACTATAGTCAAATCAGCTCCAAAATTTCATCTTTTATTTCTCCAATGAGGGTTTTTACTTCATTTACCAGTGTGGCCGTTACACTTATGGAATATCATCCACGATCTCACCTCACACTATTTATTACTGTATTATTTACTTTATTATTGTATGTACATTTTAAAACTATTTATATTTGCACAATAATTATAAATATAATATTGTATATGACAGCCAAGGCAACTTTTTTAACCACTCGGTTATTTCATATGCATTTCAAATTCAAATCGTTTAATTACATTTTTTGTGAAATGTACGAATTAAGCCGAAATTCGAATTACAGCGATCCTATTTAATGAGGGTACAGTGTAAATATCCCAGTAGACTGCATATTATAGTAGCAACGAAATGTCAGAATTATTTTGATGTATTAAATCTGATTATGCGAAGGTCTAGATTTGCTAAATAGTAATTTTTATTAGTCCAAAAATTCATCGTTTAAAATATTCTAAGTCCAAAAATTCATTGTTTAAAAATAGTATTGTAAGTCCAAAAATTCATCATTTAAAATTTTCTAAGTCTAAAAATTCATCATTTAAGATATTCTAAGTCCAAAAATTCATATTTAAAATATTCTAAGTCCAAAAATTCACCATTTAAAATATTCTAAGTCCAAAAATTGCCAAAATTATTCCTGGGCAAATTTTGAGTAATAATAAATTTGTGTGGTTTTAGAGGTAAAACATTTACGCCATTCTTAAGAGCTCCAGCTTGGCATCTGTGTATTATAAGGCATAACGGACTACCTGGACGGGGAGAGAGTAACTCACTGGGCGCCTACTGAGTTACTTCCCACGTTCAGGTAGTCCGTTATGCTTGTATTTTTTTTATTATTGGTGAATGATAATTTGAAGATGTTTTTATCCGGAGACTCTTCCGATTATCCTTTACCAAATTTTTTCAACGTTTGTCCTGGCAATGGCAAACTCAAAAAACACTTAAGGGTAAAAAAAGGGCAATTTTTTGCTCAAATTTTGCTATTTTTAGCCATTTTTTTCATATTTGTAGCTATTTTTCTGTATTTTTAGCCATTTTTCTGTATTTTTAGCTATTTTATCAGGTTTTTTTTTTTAGTTAATTTTATATTTAATTTTTTTTTATTTGTTTATATTATTTATGTTTATTTATATAATTTTTTTTCATTTATTTATATATATATATATATATATATATATATGTGTGTGTTTCTTTTTCATGTTTATATATATTTTTCATTTGTATATAATATTTGTAGATAATGAATTAGATATTTTTTCCAATTATTTTGCTGCAAATTCTGAAGCTGAACTGAAGTCAATTTTCTGTAAAAGTTGAAAATATTGTAAATGCTGTTAAGGTTAATAAAGACGTAATGACATTTAGACATTTATTAATGGAAACTTAATGGCTCTATAAATTTGCAGTCCAGGGCAGCAAGCACAGAGCAGAGCAGTCCAGGGGAGCAGCACACACAGAGCAGAGCCGTCCAGGGGAGCGGCACACACAGAGCAGAGCCGTCCAGGGGAGCGGCACACACAGAACAGAGCTGTCAGGAGCGTACACACAGAGCAGAGCACCCAGGAGCGCACACACAGCAGAGCCGTCAGGGAGCAGCACACAGAGCAGAACAGTCCAGCGGAGCAGCACACACAGAGCAGAACAGTCCAGCGGAGCAGCACACACAGAGCAGAGCATAGCCGTCCAGGGGAGCGGCACACACAGAGCAGAGCAGAGCCGTCCAGGGGAGCGGCACACACAGAGCAGAGCCGTCCAGGGGAGCAGAGCCGTCCAGGAGAACAGCATGCACAGAGCAGAGCCATCCAGGAGAGCAGCATGCACAGAGCAGAGCCATCCAGGACAGCAGCCAGCAAGCACAGAGCAGAGCCGTCCAGGACATCAGCCAGCTAGCACAGAGCAGAGCCGTCCAGGACAGCAGCCAGCAAGCACAGGGGAGTCCAGGGCGGCAGCAGCAAGCAAGTTCAGGGCAGTGTCCAGTAAGCACAGTCTAGGGCAGCATGGCACTCCAGTGTTCAGAACAACATTTCTGTACAAAATAAAATGTAAAATTAATATTCAAAATTTTTAACCATAAAAATGTTTTAAATATAGTAATGACAAAATGTACTGTAGTGTTTTATAATTCCTTGACACTTGACAGGACCAAATTTATAAACTCCATAATGGAAAAACAAGAATTTTTGTTTATTTGAATTTTTCACCAAATGATTCTTGAGAACAAGTGTCTAGGGAATATCAGTAACTTTACAGCAACTTAACCTAACTGTACAAGTTATGGTTCATATTAACTAAACTATAAAAACCAAAAACCTTTCATTACAAAACTTACCCACAAGTGAGTTTAGTTTAACCATAACAGTTATTGATGCTTAACTACAATATTTCCTGTATCTTCGGTTCATAGTTGTTAATATATTTTAAATATTTTCTTTCAATGATTTTGACCCAGAAATTATTGATGTGTAGAATATTTTTACTTTCCACTAACTTTACATCAATGAATTCCTCAAGTGGGTCAGTCACAGGTCTTGTTATAATCAGTATTATTCTACAACTGGGTACAGTATTACAAGTGAATGTTGCCAAGAGTAC